GTAATTGTAGGTGACTTACGTGTGCGTGCGTTCAACTCTATAAAACGAATGACCAACACATTTGATCGTTACAGTTATGCACTGCGGATTCCACTTACATCTGGTACCGCGTGCCCCCAATGCCCAAAGATCTGCAGATGCAGAATTGGACTCCTCAGCCACCTCAAGAGCAACCACTAAACCTGACGGGTGTCGCCATCCTCGAACCCTGAGGGACTGCCGACGAGTAAATTTAAACGTTCAAAAGTATAATAAAATAATTCTCATGACGTTTCGGCTACAACGCAAGCAGCCTGTCATCAGGTGAAGACCAGGTCTGTCAGACGCTGTCTACCCGACAGACCTGTTCTTCACCTGATGACGGCTGCTTGCGTTGTGGCCGAAACGTCGTGAGAATTATTTTATTATGTTTTATTTTATTATTTTGTATTGTTTCCATTCTACGTGACTTTACCGAAAGAACCAAGAAGAAGGTTCAAAAGTAATTCGCAGCCCTTTGTCAATCTACGGCTGGATGAAGGCTTCCCTGTCGGTGTATCGGTGGTAGCCATTGCCTGATCATACTTCACCACGCTGGTCAGTGTGGGTTGATGAAGGTTTAGAATTCAGGGGTGGGGAACCTTTTTTCTGCCAAGGGCCATTTGGATATTTATAACATCAATCGCGGGCCATACAAAATTAAATTTATGTTGCTATGAAAAAAGCGCCGAGATTTAATGAATTGAGTCGTGCGGTTGCCTTGGCAAGGGTCAAACCAAATGATTTTGCGGGCCTCATACGGCCCGCGGGCCGGACGTTCCCCACCCCTGGTTTAGATGGTGGTGAGTGCGAGGGGTTACAGGTCCAGCTCAGGTATTATTCACCACTCATGTTAGCTGTGACCAGGAATGCGACTGTGGATCGCCATCTTCATCCCGTGGTGTTTGAACCTTTCCCAGCGCGCTCTTGCGGCAACGTAACCCACAATGAGTATCTGGTACATAGCTGAACGTGAGACACATGTGATAGTGTATCCATTGCGCTAACCGTATCACCCATCTGCCTTGCCAACCTTTGCAGGTGTTCACGAACACTACTTGGCCCCAAAAGTGTTTTCTACTCCCCTTTTATACAAGGTGTTCTTGAAGGACGGTGTTGCCCATTCTTAATTAATTCAAATTATTTTGCAGTTTGAACTACGTGGTTGAGTGCTGTGGGTGTATGAAAGATAGATCAATCTTGAGAACGGACAACTCTTGATCTGAAGCACCTAACTGACCCAAGCACCTGTCCAACACCTGGGGCCCTCTCATCTCGATACGGTGTGTGTCGCCTGCGCCATGGCAGAAGGATACGATAAAGTTATTTTTTAAACATTTAGGACCGTGATGCCGACAAACACGGACTACTCTTTTTCGAATAACATGCGGCAGGTTCTTCAACATCCATTGTGCAATAGAAGGTACATATAATTTTTCACGGTTAATACGCCTGCAGTATTAACCAGGGCGGTCGGGGGAGCGAACCGCAAACCTTGAACCTCTGCAACAATTGACAAACTGCACTAACATGAGGCTGTGTCTCCACCCGAGTATGAGTTTTCTAAAGTTCGTGCTGTTTAGGTATCATCATCGGAATCTAATTTAGCCGTTGAGACAATAATACTAGAGAAGATAATGTGGCATTCGTGAAACCAAACTGATCGTTTGGGTGGGATAGGAACGTATCGGGCAGAAGGGTGGCACAGTGCTGACACTCGTGCCTCACATCAAGAAGGGCCTGGGTTTTATTCCCAACTGGGGCACCTTTCTGCGTGTACTTTGCGTGTTCTCCTCTGTTCTGCATCATGCGTTTTCTCCAGACTTCAAGTTATCCAACGTCCTCCCAGAGCTAAACAAAAACATATATTATGTAACTAGTATTGGCCAAACATCTAAATCCTGAAAAGTGACTTTCAAATTACTCAAGTCAGATTACGCGTAACGATCATCACTCCTTCCTCTGACTGAAAACTTGACAGGACCCTCTTTTAAAAAAAAATCTTGAGACTCAGCTTTTCCAAATAAACTTGCAAGCACACGTATCAACGAGAGACGTTTGATGATTTCTTTTTTTTAGCTTGAAACAAAAAGCTCAAGAAATACGGCCTCGTATTCTCCGCGTTACCGCGGGGTTGTTTTTTTTCTTCACCTTCTCTCTGGGAGCCATTTGAGGTCTTACAAAAGTCCTCTGGCCGTTTCCTCACACCACTGTGATAAAACGTGATTTACTAGGAGGCATGCAAGGCGGCGGTGCATTTTGCATTGCAAAGGGCCCTTGTGTTCCGAGTTCCCATGGGAGACTTTGTGTCACGTATGTGCTGTAAATTGTAACGTGTTTTTAGGACAATTAATTTGATGGCAACTCGTGGCAGAAAAAGGAAATGCTTTCATCCACTGTACGTTTAATATGATAGTCGGGCACACACTGTACTTTGAATTTCCAGCGATGTCCTCTCAAAGATGTTTGGCAGAAGAATCAAAGAGAGAGAAAAAAGGAGCTTCAGTGTACATTTTTTTGCCCCACATGTCCTTTTTAAAATGGCACGATGTGGAGAAAACCCAACAAAAATGTTCCGGGCCGAAACTTCTTAACGGCAAATGTGAAACAGATGACGCGCCGCAGAAGAAACAGAGCTGTGTATTGTTGCGTTTGTCCCAGAAATGCCCCGTTGGCTTTTCGGCAGGTTACAATTTGTGAACCTGGGAATTCATAATCACCAACTGGCATGTCCCCAGCACTGATCTTTCTCGGTCGTGGAGACTGGTGCATTGACCCCACACGTGGTGTAATAAGGGCATTTTGTTCCATTGGAATTGACTCCGGGTCTCCGGGTTGCTTTGAGAAGGGGCCATATTGCAAAAAAATTGCTAATTTACCCAATCAATCGGTGTTTAGTAACGATCAATGTGTCTGTTTTGTCACGTCTCATTTCCTCCGCTCACATCGCACGTTGTTAAACGCGCTTACATCCCACGCCAAACTTGAACTCTCTCTGCAGTTCTATTCTTCAGTGGAATGAGTAATACAATCCTGTTTAAAAAGCCACGTGGTAACCTCCTGTAAATACAAATGTGCACGGCAATAGAAGCGCTTCCAAGTGAGCCGTGTGCTGTAAGCACGGCGCGCATCGTCATCGTCGTCATCATCGAAGGTCATCAAACCGTGGGGGGCATGCGCACCAGTGGTGCTTTGGAAATAAACGACCCCCACATTCTCACGGTCTCTTGCGATGTGGACAAGAGGATAACGGAGTTTCATGCCACAGCAGTTGGTGTGAGTGCAGGGGAGTTACTTAGTTAATTCTCTTCAGTCCCTATGGGACATAAAGGCCGCAATGAGTTTCCTTCACTTCTTCCTGTCCTTGGCAACATGTTGAGCCTCGCTCCAAACGAGGTCGATCGCTGCTACCAGCTTGTCCTTCACTGTCTTGCGCCACGTGGTCTTGGGACTCCCACGTTTCCTTTTGCCCGGTGGTGTGCATCTTAGGGGCAACTTTTGGGTATACGGTCCTGGTCCATTCTGAGTACATGTCCGAGTCACTGTCTCTCGATGTCTCGTGTGATATTAGGACAACCAGTTTTCTTGTACAGTTCGGTGTTGTGGATTTTGTTTGGCCCGAAGGTTGCAGCAGATTCTCCAGAGGCATCTGTTATGGACGGCTGAGAAACAGTTTCATCCATTGCCATTGGCTCAGGTCCATCGCAATAGCCTGGTGTGTGCTGCTGCTGCTGCTGCCAAGGGAACAGAGTGACTCACCAATTAGAGTAGAGAGCGATGAAATAGCATACAGCCGAGCCCTTCCACACCACTCCCTTGAGTTTTTTGTAACCGACTCATGATTCTTTGGACGTATGACATCTTATGTTGTTATTACACGAGTAATTACAATTATTTGATACCCCCGCTGCTGGATTTGCTGTGGTGCACGAGCACAATTGACATAGCAAAAATAAATAAACTCAATTGGTTGGTCAATAACACTGACCTTAAAAGTAAAAATGCATCCACGAGGTAACATAGCAGGCATTTGACCCTTCATCTATGTGCTGTGAAGAAGAGAATTGCCCAAAACTTAACATTGTATATCTTAAGGTACAGTGGTATATTTAAATCATAATTAGATAAGTACCACGGTTCTGTTTACAATGCGTAACATTTTAACGTGATAAACTGCATGTTAAAATAATAATTGGTTTATATAGAAGATAAAATCAATATCGGGCATTATACAGCATTCACTATTTGCATACCCATCTAAGTTTGCTGGCTGCAGGCCTCCCATGCCATTTGGCTCGTTTGGGGGCCATTTGACCATACTCCCCTATGCTAGCCAGTACGGATAGATGGAGGCGGCTAGCGTAGATGTGGGAGCATTGCGTACAAGTGTGGATACCCCCCCCTCACCCACCTCTTCAAAGATGTCTGGCCTTCGTTGGAAGAGTAGGCCAAATACCCCCTTTACAGTACCTCTCCGGTGCTCCCACCAGTGGAGACACATTCCCCCCAAGCGGTGGCGTGAGCAAGCAGTTGCGGGGCTGCACCTTCACCGCACACCTTGCATGCATTGCCCCGTGAACAACGTTGTGATGACATTGGTACCTCATTTGCCAGTAAAAAAATATGATAATTGTTTTTTTACCCTTTTTTCTGGCAACAAAACTGACATGTTTGCATAGACCACAATACCTGCAGTCATAATGCAAACAAAAAACACAACTCTGATAATGTATGCACTGTCCTTGAAGTTGATTGGTCCACACCCGAGACAGCTTTCCTTAGAGCCTAGTCTCACATGGGTTGGACCAGATGACGCCATTATGACTGCAGGTATTGTGGTCTATGCAAACATGACTCCTCGTAACAAAGGTGTCAGTTTGTTGCCAGATAAAAGGGTAAAAAAAACAATTATCAACGTTGTGATGCACGTAGGGCTTAATCCCTGTGTGCTCGTGTGTGTGTGTCCCTTGTGGTCCGGGCAGTCCAAGCGACAGGTGAACGACCTGTACGAAGACCTGCGCGATGGACACAACCTCATCTCGCTGCTGGAGCTGCTGTCCGGGGAGATGCTGGTGAGACTCGGACGGCGCTCATGCCCGCGACACCCGGGGGGGGGGGGGTTACCACGGCACGCGTCGGAGATTGGGGCGCCACAGTGGCTCAGAGATGTTAACTACCTCGCCTGGTACACTGGAGGTTCCTATTCTTAGGTTTTTTTCGGTAAAGTCACGTAGGTAAAAAATTAAAATTAATAAAAGTAAAATAAAAATAAAATAAAAATCACGACGTTTCGGAGGCAACACAAGCTTCCGTCTTCAGGTGGAACCCTCACAGCACGATAGCTGTATCAAGTGAGAGAAATTCCAAGAAAACAGTCCTTGTATATATACTGGTTGAGGGTGGGAGGAGCCAAGGTAGGTCCTGAATATTATTTGTGTTGAGGTTCGGTGCGGCCGAAGCACGCTGTTAGGAATGAGCCTTTGTTGTGTACCTACGTGACTTTACCGAAAAAAACCTAAGAATATGAATCCTTGCAGTCACGAAAGCTTCAAATCTAGAATTAACACAGGAGGTTGTGGGTTCGATCCCGACCCTGACGCCTGATGTATATTTAAAGTTTGCGTGTCTCTCTCCCCGTGGTGGCGTGGATTTTTCTCTGGGTCCTCCGGTTTTTCCCTCCACATTCAGAAACATGCGTTTTAGAGTATTTGGCTGCTATACATTTTCACGTGGTAAGCCAATTCGTTAACCTATTATTTTTAGCCAGGCTGCTTCTGAAAAAGAGATATGTAGCTCAGTGGGCCTTACCTGGTAAAATAAAAAGAAATACTTTTAATGTATGGATAGGGTCACGTATAATTAATTTACAAGACTAAACGTGGTTTTTAAAATGGATTCATATTCTTTGTGAAGGCAATTGAGACCATTGAATGTTACAATATCTGTTTGCATGCATGTTTCTGAATGTAGATACAGGAATATATCAAGCGGTACATTTGGCCAGTAGAGTAGGATTTGTGTTTTTGCGCAAGTTCAAGATTCAAGTGTATTTCCTTCAACCAGGTGCGACCTCAAGAGATTTTTTCATTTTCATTTACAAGAGGGACCTGGGTCACCAAAATGAGCAAAGCAAGACAAATAAAATTAAGAGCAGCAATCACGCAAATAGAAATATGAACAAAATGACTTCTTGCAGAAAGCAAAAAAATCGAACATTCGTAAATTAATTTTAATCAACATTAAATATTCATTATCCCTGCAGCACAAGTCGACTCGGGCAGATTATTACTTTACATAAGTGTTAAACATTGGACAGATATTGGGTGACGATCATACTCGTATGTAAACTGACAAGGAGATATGTCATATGTACAGCGGTGGTTGTCACACTGTGCTGAAAAAACCCGGTGACCTCAATCTTATTCCTGGTCTTGGCCAAAATCAGTGGCAAATATCAGAACTGGTCCTGGGCATCCCCATAGGTTGACTTGCCCTTAAATGAGCACCTCGTACAGTGTTGAAAACATTAGCAGAGGGGAGACAAAGGCAGCCGGGAATTATTCTTACCACATAACCACCACCACCTTGAGCACCATACTGGCCTTGATAGATGCTCGCTAACAGCACCTGCCCCAACAGCCTATTAAACATAAGCTGAACCCTTATTATGTTTATGTGCCATGAAGGAGGGCCATTGCCCGAAACGTCACCGATTTTATTCATGTTTTCATTTAAGGCCACGGTGTATGAGAGTGAAGGCCACGCTGTTATTGATATTCCTGAAAAATAGCCGACAAGTGCGTCGCTAATACGGCTGTGATAGTGTGACTTTCTCAAAATCGTAAACCGCGGATAACGTTGACGCGCATCTCTAGACGGGCAGATTTACTGCGGTCTTAAATATACAGCTTTCAAAACAACGCCCGGGGTGTACCTGCTTGGTACAGTATGATCGCTTGTTTTTTATAAAGGCAAATGGATTACAAGAATAATCCATTGCCAAGGTTGAAAGATTTACTACAGTGATACGGTGTGGGCGTGATCATATTACAATGCGCCTGATAACGAATTGCACCATCTGGGTCATTTGTGGAGTTTATACACTGAGGTCTTGTAGCTAACACACCCATGCACGTGACTTTGGTCCATGGCTCGCCGGTTGTGTCGATGGTCACGGTTCGACTCAAGAGCTCCCTCGAGGCTGAATGCCACGTCGAGCCCCTTTAGTCGTGAGGGATAAAAAATCAGGCCCCGTTGTGAAGGTGTTCTGTGCGCCCTGGAGATGTGAGTAAAATCCCTCTGCTTGGGGCGGAGCGTCTTTCCCAGGGGTTTGCCAGGCGGTGTTGCGAAGTTACCTCTGCCAGCAGGAGTCTCTGTGCGGCGTTTTGATCAGGGCGGTGAGGCCACAGTAGGGAAGAGGGAGGGAGAAACGTGGGTCCCGGGGGATACGGGGTGGAGGCGGCGGGTGAAAAGGTCCTGAGGGAGAGCGGGATGCACCAACACAAGGGGCGCGCAGGTGATGAGGGGGGCAGAGGAAGCAGGGAGGGTGCCGTCTAGAAGCAAGAAGGGCAGAGGTAAAGGAGGCAAAAGCGAGGGGGTCAAGATAGGCCGGGAGGGGGGGGGGGAGCCGCCCCAGCACCGCGATGCCCGACGCCAGTCCCAGCTCTCTTCTTTGTCCACATCCGACTCCGGTATCCGAGAGGCAGCGGTGATGGAAGATTTCTAAGATCCCTTTCTCCCTCTAAATGTGTGACGGAGGCCAGGGGATGGCAGGGGGCACTCCTCGCTCGACGCTGCAGAGGGGATGGGGGAGGTCGGGGCGGAGAGGGGGGACCACCGACACTTTCGTACCCTCGGGATGCTGCGATTTGTCTCGTTAGCGGTTGTGGTTCTCAGACTTGGTATGTGGAAGGGTGTAGTCTGGGCAGGCTTTTCCCCCGTACCACAAGGGTCTTCTGGGGAGGGGCGGGAGATTCAGGGGAGATGTGTTTGGGGTTTGGGCGCTGTCCCAGTACACAAGCGGGCCATGGGAGCTTGATCCCCAGGGGCCTCCCCATCCTCACACCACGGCAGGGGAAGGGGCGGAGGCCCCAATCCATCCTCAGGCTGCTCCGGTATCCGGCTCCTGGGAGACGTATTCCAATCTCCCCCGTGTCTGGGAGACCAACTGCCACTCCTGTCCACTAGGGCCACTGCTTTCGAGGAGGATGTGTGCTTCCTTGACGGCCCGTGTCGAAATGGGGGATATCGTGAGCGGTATTGAGGGCCAGGGTGTGGGGAGTTAGAAGATCGGGTGAAACGCGGAGGAAGAAGGGCCGCTGAGGGCTTCCCCCTGCAGGCGGATTCCAGTGGGCCCCGGGCCCCGAGTGGCTGGTTGTGGTCCCTCCCGATCCTCAGCCTGCTCCAGGAATGCGTCCAAGCAGGCCCAGCCCACCAGGTCCCCATGCAAGGGTAGAGAAGGTTCCTCCTCTTGGCATCCATCGGGGTGAGGCCCGGTGCCATGAGTGTCCGCTTCCTCCCCATGAGAGTTGCCCCCGCCTTGGCTGCCCTCAGCACCTCCACGGCAACGTGATGTCACGTGAAGGTGATTAGAACAGGTCGTGGTCTCGCATTATTGGTCTCCATGGAGTCTCCCCGCCTTCTCTCCTTCCCACCCGGTAAGCCTGCACAATCTCCTGATCGGCATGAGAGCTCAAAGGGTCCGAGCTTGCTAGGGCCTTCGGTCGGTGTCTGCGGATGCACGATAGGGTCCCCTGCTTAGCGTTCCCTTCCACCCCCTCCGGGATGCCGTACACCTTCAGGTGGTTCTCTCGGCCCCTCGCATCCGGCGTGTTGACTGCCGTCTCGAGCTCCAGAACCCTGGTTTCGAGGGATTTCATCATGCCGCCTTGCGCTTCAATGGTGGCTAGAAGCACGTTGGTCGCCATATCCTGCTTCTCGACCCTCCCTCCAATTTAGTTAATTCTTTCCTCCAGGCCGTGGAGTATGTTGATGTTTTCTTCCACCCTCTCCAGCAGTGTTTGTAGCATCTCCCTCAGGGCCTTCCCCCAGGGCGTCCGGTCTGATGTTGACTCGTGACTCCGGCGGGGATGAGGCCTTGGCCTTCTTGCCAGCGGCTCTAGCCTCCATTTAAATTGGAAGGGCTGCTGCATCGGGAGCTTCTCTTACCTGACCACGAGGCGGGCGTTGGTGCATAGCCTAGGCCCGAGTCTCAATTAGCTTGAAGGTGGACCTTTCCCTCTCACTGTCCCGGGGGGTCTGGTCTTCTAACAGCCTTCTAAAAGATCAGAGGGAAAAATAAAACATTACTAGGCAAAGAAAACTTTTAATCTGAAGAGATTATGGGTTGAGACGAGTTAGTAAGGGGTAAGAGTGATCCGTACCGCGCTGCCTACTCGGTCATAACATCACCGGAAGTCACACTAGGGACAATTTAATGCTCAAAAGTAATTTTTCAATTCAATAAAATAACATTCATGGTATATGATTAAACTGTGTGTAAATGCAAATATGTAAAATTATGCTGAATTTACAGATAATCATACTTATAAGAAAAATGTGTCAACGTCACATTTCACTTGTGTTACATATTTTATGATAATGCTACAAATATTGAGCGGTCTGAAAATACATTGCAAAAAGCTACAGGATTACAATCTTTTCGAGTGATAAACTTCATTCTCCTGAGTCCCAAAGATGGATCATCATGTTATAGTTGGGTTGCCACATGCAGCATTTCTGGGAAATATGTAAGCCTTCACAGGCGATTTAAAAGTCACAGTTTCTTTGTAAGTTGCGTGATAATATATCACTCAACACCATGCATTTGCATGCAATTGTCTCTTCTTACTATTGCACTTGAGAGAGAGAGTTATCTTTGAATGTTATCATCTTTATTTTGCTAACATTCATCTTACCATGGCCAATCTGATCTTAGCTTCACTCTCATCTTCTGCCTTCTCTGGTATGTAATCCTAAATATTTAAAAGCAGCCGACACTATCTCAACTTTTATCCCCTGACAAATGTCTTATTAATAATACCATGTCACGCGAGCACAGCACTGTGCATATCTTGAGATTTATTTTTTCACTTCTGCGGAAAACGTTTTTAAGTGGCAACCCCGTGGCCACGGTCTCGCACTCCTCACTCCGCTCGCGTCCTCCTGGGACATTCACGCCGTGTCCGAGGGCGGAGGGAGGGGGGGCCGGGAGTCACGTGAGGTGAGCCTGCGAGCAGCGAGCAGAGGTCGCAATCGGGTACCCGACACCCGTACCCTACCCGATACCCGGCTACCCGTACCCGGCCGGGTACGGGTACCCGTTTGCGACTCTGGTGCGGCCGGGTACGGGTAGGCCGTAAGTCACTGGTGAGTAACCGTTTGTCACTCATTTCCCAACGTCTTGTCTCTTCTCACAATTCAAGTTCCTAGAATCAACCAACCCGCGTCTCAAACATGGCTTCATCCCAGAGGTCGCAATCAGGTACCCGATACCCGTACCCTACCCGATACCCGGCCGGGTACGGGTAGCCGGGTATCGGGTACGGGTAGGGTACGGGTACCCGTTTGCGACCCTGGTGCGGCCTGGTACAGATACATGTACGGATACAGGTAAGGAATCAAAAGCCCGTTTGCGACCTCTGGCAGCGAGGGACCAGCCCTGCCCTAATGTCTGGGCGACTCCGGGTCATGGATGGGCGCTTCCCCCCCCTCCCCTCCCCGCTCGCTTGCGGTAAAACCCGAAGTGCGGCCGCGGGTCAAGCCCTCCTCCTGTCGCCTGGGCGCGGTCGCGAGCGAGGATTCGTAGCTCGGTCCGGCGGCCTACGCCACGCGGGTCTCGTATTTGTCGCGGAGAGGTGCGATAGCAAGGCAGCTAATCCTCGATCTGTCAGTGTCGTCGTTTAATATGCCAAGTGAGAGCCCATTCAGACTAATTCTATTTTGCTTTTGAGTCCCACATTTTTTTGGAAACGTAAAACTGTTTGATCCGCTTCGCGACAAACAGTTATAAATACCTTTCATTGAATGCATTCATTGCAGTCATGTGAAATGTGAAAGCATCTTCCGAGACGTTTGGCCATCGTGAAAGAGTCGGCCAAATTATCCCCACGAGGAGGCTCTTGAGAGCTCCCTGCATTGGAGACCTTTCTGTCAGCAGTGGCTTGAGCAAGAAAAATGCAGGCTGCACATTGACCACCGCCGTTTGCACGCACGAATTTCACCGTATTTATCTACAATATTTCATTGACTCACACAATTCAAGGGTGTCTTTTCTCTTGCAAAATGTAGGGCCGTAGGCAAAAATAAATCAAATGAAGAAATTTTTTTTCAAAACTATTTGGTCACATTTTGTTGCCGTGAAATGAAAATATTATTTTGTTGCCCGCACAAAGTAAGAGTGTTATCATATGTAATGTATGGATGATTATATTTTGTTCTTGATTTGGTATTTCTTGGCTCTGACAGTAGAAGATTACATACAGCCAGAGCTTACGTAGAGAGGAGAACTCCTCTTATCCGTGGCAGCCATAGGATCTGCAAAAAAAATCATATCTGCTCTGCAAGCCATAGATCTTCCTGTTATTGCGATTTCTTTACCCCACGGATAAGAGGAGTAAAATTGCGGATAACCCAGTGGATAATAGGATCTGCCATATCCACGATATTTTCCCTACATATCACCGTGGATTTGAATAATTCTGTATATACACGTTTGTGTATAGCTTCAGTGCCAGCGCACCATATATATTATGTTTCAGTGGCTGTCAGAACATCCTTCACACTCTAAACTCCACCCTACGGCCCGCCACACCCATCCCAGTGCCCACCTCACATTAAATCGTTTAAACTCAAAACACGCGGACGCGCTCAATGCTGCAGGCTTCATCCACGCTCGCAACCAGGCTCATAACCATCACCTCTTTGCTCACATATCTCTGCCTCGGTCTTCTCAAGTTCTGGGACCTGTCGCCCAGAAAATTAACTTAGAATTAAATTTCGATTTAAAGCTTTCGTGACTGCAGGGATTCATCTTCTTGGTTCTTTCAGGTAAAGTCACGTAGAAGGGAAGTAATAAAATAATAAAAATCAAACATAATAAAATAATTCTCACGACGTTTCGGCCACAACGCAAGCAGCCGTCTTCAGGTGAAAACCAGGTCTGCATAATGCACGGGCATAAGTAGTACTAATCACATACCTGCATTTCCCATATCCCCTCCCTTTGATGCTGCTAATCCTGCATAATGCACGGGCATAAGTAGTACTAATCACATACCTGCATTTCCCATACATATGCTAAATTCCTCTTGATATGCAAATTATTTTGTCAAGGTGCCCTTTCCCCCCCTTCCAACCCAGCTTAAATATATGCTCCAAGCATGGTGCTGTTTCATTCAGACGCTGTCGCCTCGACAGACCTGGTTTTCACCTGAAGACGGCTGCTTGCGTTGTGGCCGAAACGTCGTGAGAATTATTTTATTATGTTTTATTATTTTATTACTTCCCTTCTACGTGACTTTACCGAAAGAACCAAGAAGATGTATCTTCGAATTGTGCACAAGGAGAATTGGTGTTAACAGCAGCTGGCAGTGACAGAATGGGACTAAATATCGGCCCAGGCATTTGTAAACAGGCTGGCCCAAATTGCCGAGCGAATCTTATTGCCCCAGTTTGGCTGGGTCCAAAAAACAAATGGGCCGGTGAGGAACAATCTTCGTGGCTGACGAATATGGGACTTAATGTCAACTGAGAGCGTAAATAAGCAATGAAGTGTAAATATTTTCGTAATACAATATTTTAATATAACAAAAAATGCAATACTCATCACATTTAAAATTTCCCCACCCAGACCGGCCCACCAGCCTTCAGAATGACCCGGTCCACCGGGCATTTGCCTGGACTACTGCCCTGTGGCCAGTCCAGGCCAGGCAGCTAGCAACGAACCTCTCCTTAACATTGGCTCGCCAGAACACTGTCTAAAGTGTGTGCCATTGCCATACCACGTTGGCATGGTTTTACATAGTAAATGCGTTGCTGGCTGGGCCAACCCGAGTGTGGGGGGCAATTTTTCCCAGGTCTCACATAAAAAACAACCGTCCTGATTTTTTTTTGCCTTGGATGTATGTATGTTGAACACTCTTTCGCACCGTACATAAGCGACCGCACTTATCGGAGGTGTGGGGGGGGGGATAACAAATAAAACACACGCAAAAATGAATAAGGTGGCCTCACACGGAACCTTTAGGTAGCCCTGATGGCTGGTACCAACTTCTGGTCAATATTGCCATAACATTGTCTCTTCAGTTGTTTCTGGCCCGCAGTTGTGGGTAGTGCTGTCAGTTGGGGTTCCAGTCGCGGTAAAAGAGCTGCATTCGATTACAGGTGCAGATCAATCGCAAAGGCGAAGTGAATGTAAGTTAAATTAACTTACTCTACTACAACAATTTACCACGGACTTGAGAAGAGTGTTGGGAGAGCCCTGAACACTGTGTGTGTGTGTTCGCTCGCCGTGTGGAGGGGTGGCGAAGTGATTGGCACGCTGCGCTATAAACCCATCCACCCGAGGTCAATTCCTGCTCACAGCCAAAACCGGTCACGATTATCTGAACCGGTCTTGGGCCTCCCCTAAGTTGACTCAGCCTCAAATGTGCACCTGGTACGATGTGTAAATTCGCCACTCGGGAGGCAAAGGCGGCCGGGCGTGGTTGCTGGCCACCCGCCCCCTCGTGTGCCGTGCCGGCCTTCATAGGTGCTACTCGCTGACAGCATTTGCCCCAACAGTCTGTGAATGAGGCTATGCGGGGGGGGGGGGGGTCGTCGTGGTTTGTCTGATTGTGCTGCACGTGCTGTGTGTTGCAGCCCAGGGAGAGAGGCAGCATGCTGGTGCACAAGATGCAGAACATCAAGATCGCCCTGGACTTCATGCAAAGACGCCAAGTGAGCCGCGCCGACCTGGACACTTTGCACGGCAGAGGCTACTGCCCATTAAGCTCATGTGCAAGAACTTGTGGCTGTCGCTATCCGACGAGTTGATCGGTCCAATTGTGTGCCATATGGGGAATACTGCACGCGTACGTGTTGAAAGGATACGGGTTTGGCAGAGGGAGGAGCAACAGAGCTCAGCACATTTAAACAGTCTAAAGATGGACAACAAAGTGGTGTCCTTGCACCACCGCCATACGTGTGTAACCTTTGCATGTGTGTAGAAAGTAGTGCTTGTGTATATTGTGTGTGTACAATGTACGGTGAATGTATGTATATAGTGGAGAGCGGTAGTGTCCGTGGTTAGAACGCTGCGCTACAAACCCAGTGACCCGAGTTAAATTCCGGCTTGCCGTCATCGATGAATGCATGAACGGGTTCTGGGTCTCGCCGAGGTCAACTCAGCCTCCCTTGTGCATTGTGTAAACATCATTACTGGGGAGATAAAGGTGGCCGGGCATGGTTCTGGCCACTTACCCCAACGTATGCTGTGCCGGCCTTCATAGGTGCTCGCTAACAGCACTTGCCCCAACAGCCTGTTCATGCTACATTGAAAATATTTGTCTTTGCACGTATATGGTGTATAGTGTGGTGTATCTTGTTATTAAATTGTAATATTTAGTTATTATGATTGCATGTCTTCGAAATGTCTTAGGTTGTAATTACGTTACATTTTAATGTAATGAAAATATAACGTGTTTCAACTATTTACTTATTTGAAGTATGTCAGATGCCCCCGCATATATGGAAAGGCTCTCTGCCCAGTTAGTGTGGCTCTGAGAGGTTTCACTGTATTTGCAGATAGAGCTGAGCGGAAGGAGCGTTGATCCAATCCCCATCCCGGCATGAGCCTCAATTGATCAATGAATGTCTATAAATGTGGCCTGTGATGTATGCATGCATGTTGCACTTCTTTTGCACCGTACGTAGCCAAACACGCTTATCGGAGGAGCAGAGGTGTGCAGAGTTAATTAAAATGACAAATTACTAGAGTAAGGCAATGCAGATACAAATGCTCAATTAACCGCATCTCGTGTAATTTAGATACCGGAAATAACAAATGACATTTGTAACGAAATTACATTTTTTAACTACGTATAATTTAGATACTGGCCATAACTGCTGTGACATCATCCCGCAGATCAAGCTGGTGAACATCCGTAGCGATGACATCGCAGAGGGAAACCCCAAGCTCACCCTGGGGCTCATCTGGACCATCATCCTTCACTTCCAGGTCAGAGGGCAACACACGTGCTGCAGGTGTTTTATTTTGTTAGCTTCACATTTATTCGCCCAATGAAGCCTTGCCGTGTGCCAATGCTCTGTGTTAGTAGGGTTCTGTGAATAATAATGAAGGTTTTTGGGGTAGATCGCGTAAATGTATCCGTGTTGTTAACCCATCGCCACCCAAAAGAGCCAATTAGTGAGGTTTGTGACGTGAACAAAGTGTGTCATTTAGCAGCTACGTCAGCACATCGATGTGATGGAGAGTCAATCCACAACATTCACAGTTTGAGTACGACGTTTCTCTGGTGATTACAACAATTTATTTTATTTTCTACCCACGTGACTTTACCGAAAGAACCAAAGAGTATGGATCCCTGCAGTCACGAAAACTTCAAACCTAGATTGATTACAACAAAGTTTCAGGCGATTTTGCCGGAATTGTTTTGTTGACGTGTCTCAGCTCAGTGCGGGTTGGTGAAGGTGGCGAGCATCGAAGTGGGGCCAAATAAGTACGGGGACTCGTCTACTTACGAAATGTTCGACTCAAAAACTTTCAGAGACACGAACAAACCTGTCCATATGTCCAGTTGCCCATTCGGACCGAGAGTCGTAAGTTTAACTGCCGCGCAATAGATGGCGGTGGTGGCGTCTACATCTGCAGAACGTGAGGAATCAGGGGCATCTACGTCTACAGGACTTTTAAAGCCATTCCCTGTGCTTAGTGTACATGCCGCAGAACATGTTTGGAATTGACAGGAGTAAAGTTGGACTTACGAACAAGCCTCTGGAACTTTACTCGTTCATAGGTAGAGGAGTCAGTGTACAGCATCTGCTGCACTGCCCTCTGCTGGACACTGAATGCATAAACAGTAAAGGATTTGTGACTCCATATGAATATAATCATATTTAAGCTCATCGGCCCATGAGCAATCTGGGCCAATGTTTTTTCAGCAGCATTAGTTTAAGCAGGCAAACTCTGGATGTGCTTATTTTCTGAGTTTCGTCAACAGAGCCAGGTCCGTTGAACATCTCACGTTTGCTGGAGATCTCTGAAAATGAGCTTCATAGCTCACCGAATTCTTCCAGTCTAAATAACGATTCTGATTCTAATTCTGATTCTGAAACAATTGCTGCTGTGTTGCTTGAATATATAGGCCAGAGCACCCTGTTAATAAAGCGGTAACTAATTGTATTGACAGTAATTCCTCATTTAACGTACAAGATGCGTTCCTGAAAAGTACCGCGTTAAGCGAGGAGTTATTTACGTACATTGCAGGGCATAAATAAATAACACTATGCACATTTTAATCATATCTGCACTATAATATCAGCCTGCAGTTTTCCCATTGCGAGGCAAAAGAACTGAGATGAGGGTACCCCGCCACGCACCGTATCATTCCGCGCGTGCACCCGGAGTTCCCATCCCGCTTGGCTCAAAAAAGTAGTTCGTCAGAACCACATTATAGCGAAAACGCGTTTTTATGAAGACATGTTAAGCATGTGCTTGCCGTATCCAAACGCATAACATACCTGGGATTTTACATCTTGAGCAAGAGGGAAAAAAACTGAGTGAATTCTAAATTTGCAGTTGCATGCTCGTTGCAAAGCACAGCTCCAAGCAGTAAACTAATCCCCCTTCTCAATTTTCCACTGCCATTCCATGCCTGCTTGTCAGGCATGGAATGGCAGTTATTGGGCCCAATTTAAACAAACATTATTGAAACCTTTCTACACAGCTTAATTTTCCAACTATGTTACCTGAACAAAGAGTTGACCTGAAATGCACACATTGCTTGCAATGGGAATAACACTCCTTTCATTGAAAGTGCAACTCGAGCATTGAGTCCAGAGGGCATGGTGGCGAGATGTTAACTACCTCACCAGGTATGCAGGAGGTCACAGGTTCGATCCCGACCCTGGCATCTGTATATTTTGAGTTTAAATGTTTGCCCTGTGGTGGAGTAGATTTATCTCCAGGTCCTCCGGTTTTCCCCTCCACATTTATAAACGTACGTTTCGAGTATTTGGCTGCTATAATGTCCCACATGATGAGCCACTTCCGTTGAGCTATCATTTGTGGCCAGGTCGCTTCTGAAAAATATCTACATTAGTGGGCCCTACCTGGTGAAAAAAAAAAGTTGTAATAGTAAATAGGCCGCCAGTTCGATATCCCCGCTCGGCAGTTTAAACGTGGGGCGAGATTCTTACATTCCGCACCTATGTCTACCCGGATGTATAAATAGGTATGGCACAGTTAATTGATCTGCAGTTTGCGTGTGGTGGAGTAGAGTGTGGATAGCCCCACATCTTCTAAGACATCTGGTCAGCGTGGAAGAGTAGGCCAAATACCCTTTAGAGATGGTGCTCTCTCGTGCTGTCGAGTCGAGGCTCTTTCGCCACAGTGGTGTGAGCAAGAATTTGCAGGGCTGCATCTTGAACCTTTTTTTTTAACTCCATTAAAACTGTCTTGTAATGGATTACACATTCAAGCAGAAGTGTTAGAATTAATTGGTGGTTCTCTTACTGGCTCAGCGGTTATAATTGAGTGAGTGAAATATTCACACTTGGACGCATTTTGCCTGTCTCACTTTGGTCCGTCGTGAAGTGAGGGCAGTGTTCTCCATTGCAAGGCCCGCGGCCCACTGGCAGCCCTTGGTGGCCTTTAGCGCAGCTCCTGACGTGCGGCCTCCGACAATACACACAACACGTGACAACACCCTCCCATCATCATAATCATCGTGCTGCTGTGAAATCCCAATGGTTTCAAATGTCTCGTCCCTAAGAAGTAGTGAAGAACACAGAGCTAGGGTGTTGGGGCTGGTCGTCCTGTTATCTCGACTAAAGTGTCCAGGCGGCAGCCTTTTGTGGCTGGTCTGGTGTGATCGTTCTTGCTGAATCGGTGCCGAGGAGAGAAAAGACAGCCGTTTGTTTTAAAACGAGGGCACTGTGCAGCTTGGAGACTGAGTCAGCGCCGCTGACATTTCTGGGTTAAAATGTAGGCAGCCTCCCACCAGCCCACCCTCCACCCACCCGTCCCCCCTACTGTGATGAAACCAAATGCAATCTGGATGATATCGCATTGGCAGCGGCACTCATAACAAAGTCTCAAGACAATGCAACTATGGACCGTATATTAGAAACCACTACATTATGCGCGCCATCAATGGAGGAATAGAAAAACTACACAAACTCTCTGTTGAAGCCTTGTCGCGGTTAGCAGACCACAACCTTGGCATTCGGCTCCTGAATGAATATATTGCCATAGTCAAGAATAGAAAAAAACCTGCTGAAAGGACAACATAAATAGGTGACATTTCAGACAATGGCCCTTCTTCATAGTGGACAGATCCTCTTTACTTACTATAATGAGCCAAGAATGTCTGTGTGTCCTGCGTGTGACGTCACTCCACATGGGCCACCCCCCCTCATTAATAATAATTAGCGGGTGACGTCACTCCACATGGGGGGGGGGGGGGGGTGAGGCGCCTGTCTGTGTGTCCTGCGTGTGACGTCACTCCACATGGGCCACCCCCCCTTCATTAATATTAATTAGCGGATGACGTCACTCCACATGGGGGGGGGGGGGGCGAGGCGCCTCCTCCCCCCTCCTCAGCGTCAACTTACAACCCTCACAACAAAGGCAAGAACCCTCACGTCACGCGATGCCTGTAACGCTGTTGAGACATAGAAGTAAAACGGACGTCATGATGAACAATGGATTATAACCTATAAATTAAAAAGGTCTGTGTCACCCTGGCCTTACAAATTGTACACGAATGGATGCAATGAATGTCACGTCCCGGTCTGCTTTTCGCTTGCAAGTTTCAGATTTACTGCAATACACCCGTCCTTGGACGGGCAAAAGGCAAGTAATTCTAGATTTGAAGCGTTCGTGACTGCAAGGATTCATACTCTTAGTTCTTTCGGTTAAGTCACGTAGGTAAAAAATGAAATTAAAATTAATAAAAATAAAATAAAAATCACAACGTTTCGGAGGCAACACAAGTCTCCGTCATCAGGTGGGACCGTCACAGCCAGATTTGCTGTATCAAGTGAGGCAGGGATTCAAGATGCAAGCTCTTAAATACAAGTTGAGGGGGGAGGAGAGGGGGGGGAGCTTATCAGAATGTGGTAGCCAATGAATGGAACGTATCGGGAGGGGGGGGGGCTAAAGGCAAGTAGTCAAATAACTATCTGAGCCATTGTCCTGTGAAACATTTCCAATGAAAATGTTATTTATTTTAGTGCAGTGTTATTGCAGTTCGTGGTGCTATCTTCCATAGCCACCATTTAGGTCTCTTTTTTTTCGTTGTCATTGTCAGCGCTCACACGGCATTTCATAATCGGCCTCGTGTTGTTGTTGGCAAATTCCTCTTGGAACTTGCAGAGAAGCAGACATCCTGTAAGAACTGGATGGACGCCCTCAACCAGCCTGCGGCTGCAATTAAATTATCGTGATTCCCTGCCGATAGCAGGAGTTGCAGAAGAACATTTAATTGCCTCTTGACCAATAGCACATTTGGAATACGTTTTGGGTGGCAAGGTCTGAAACAACGTGTGCAATTCAATAAGCACACAGTGTGCACTTCGACAATAAACTTGTCAAACAAATGTTTGGCACCAGGTGCCCATGCCATGCCAAATCGACCCAGAGGAGGCCCCGTTAGGTGTTGGGCTGACCTCAGCACAGCTTTCGCTCAAATATGGCGTGCGCTCTGCTTTATAGCAACTGAAAGCTCGCGTATCGCCAGCCAAAGAGCCGTACAAAATGATTAATGTCAGAGCACTGTGCGTGCGGCTTAAAGAATGTAGTTGAATGCACTGTACGCCGTTTGCTTTCTGAAAATGTTCCGATAAAATGTGAGGCGTGGAGACATTTTGGAACGAATTAAACCAGGTAATATGTTACAGATAGGAATGTAATGAATGTATACATACTTGTGCCACCCACTGCCTTGCACAGATTGTACATGTTGTTTTCTCTTTAGTTAAGTTAGTTAATTCTCC